TCCTGCATCTTAAATTGATGCACAAAATATTTTTTTCCCCTAAATATAATATTTACAGACCACATGGAACCAAATAACTCAACCAGATTCATGCTTCAGAAATCACAGGATGCGTGACGCACATAACAGAACCACTTAGGGTCAATTCTGATACATTTATGTTCCAAATCTATCTGGAAGACATGAGGTATGCTTCGAAATCAGTTTATGTTTTATACGTTTGAATGGAAATTGGTCTGTATTAACACTCATTAGTTGTCTTCCAACTTCATAGTGGCAATAAAGGACTTGTGAGCTACATCGGAACGCGGATTAAACAATTCATTCATAGTGCTGATGGAACCGAGGTGCATTATCCTCTGATTATTACAGCAACAGGCCTCACCCGAAATGTCCACGAATTCACCCATATTCCGCCGTTTTGTTTCGTGACATCTCCTGGGACCCGTCTCATTGTGCAACCATACAATGAAACGACACATCTTTTAATGAACAGGTATGCTGTACTATTTGCATCTTTCTTTTCATTATATGCATCTTCTTCTACCAGTTAGCTAATTGAACACAACAAACCTACTAGGTTCTTTCATAACAGATTGCCAGTGGACATCATTGACTACAGCTCGAAGGAACGCCTTGGATACCTTCGGCGCAAGATTCCTCCCAGAATTTCACTGCTGGAATTGAAAACCAAAGTTCCATTAGGAGAAATGGAAACTGAGGTGACTTTCCTTACCTTCTTTCTGCAACTGTAGATTGTTAAGCAAGTATATATGAAAATTATCAAGCATCCTCAGGTGACCTTCCAACAAAATAAATGTTTTAGTTACTCACAAAAACTGGATTTGACAATTTTCCTAATTCAATCCGTGTGACAGATACTCTATCGATGCAAATTGAAGATACTTAAGTTCCATCTTGGTTCTGAGACCTGCAAAACGTTTCCTGAAGACACTGAGTATTTCCAAATTACAACTACTTTTCTTTTCCTTATTGTTAAGTAACAATTCATTGCTACCACATCTCTAATCTACGTATACGTTTAGATTGTACTACGAATTGCAGGCTGAATGCGAATCAGGAAATCACACCGCAACAATAGTTCTGAATCATCAACCTTCTCTTGCTCTAATCCGTATGCCACCGCTCGAGTTCCAAATGATGCCATATGACGAGAGAGTTGAGTTGCTCAAAACATTCTGCAATGTTCAGCTAATGGCAGAACTGTACATCGTGGGATCAGAAGATTCAGATGAACCACACATCCGCATGTTTGCGATTTGGGATTCAAAAGCATTTCAGCCATTGCGAGAACTTAAATTGCGCATCTGACCGAAGCCTTACGTTGCAGTCAAAGAAGGTACATTCCTTCCTACTTTTGTTTTGCATTCAGTGGAACATTAGTGCTCGTGGGCACAACCATTTTTTGCGCACTAATAAATACCCACATGTCTGTTCTTATTGCAGCTCTTAGGACTAAGGAACGAATTGGGTTGTTGGCTGAGGAAGGATCAAAGTAAGGCAGGCCCAGAAGACATGGATTGCAACATTATTAGTTAATTCGATATTTTGAGAATTGGAATAGTCCATCTTTATTTCCATTCTGAACATAAACTGTTCTGGTACGTTGTGTATGGTAGCTACCCTTTAAGCTCAACCATCCAAATAGTTCAGATCTAAACAATGTACTTGGCAATGCACGTTCGTATTTTATTCGTCTTAGTTATGCCCTTTCTGCAGTTCCTTTGTTGTACATGTGTTTGAGTGTTCTGTCTTCACTCTTGTGTCGTTACTGTTCTGTTATATTAGATCTCAAGATCATTACAGATATCAATAACCACCCCTGATTCGCTATCTACAGTGTACTATGTTCCTAATGTAACCTCCTGTAATTCGACTAAAATCGGTCATTCCCTTCTAGCCTCCAGTGTTAGTATGTTTCCCCCGTTTGCTGTACTGTTGCCTCAGTTGAAAAGTAATAGATTCCCTTCACACCACTTGTCTTTTAGGCCTTTCTTCTACGACCATTTTTATTGTATTTTGAATCATTTTGGGCCGCAGAAACACTGAACAGTTCGAGAGAAAGTTTATGTCTTTTGTTGTTTTATTCAACGTTTAGGAAGATCCCTGCTCTTATCTCACTTTTCATCCTCTCTCATCAACTTTACTCTTCTTCCGCTATTTCCTCACTAAAATCCTGAATCAGCACACTGTTCCTGTTCAACCTTCCTTCTGGTGTCATCCGGTTCGATCTCCGTCCCCAATTTCCTCACAAAAGAGACATGCTTCCGCAAAAGCTGCTTCGGGATTTGAATGGAACTGAAGGGCCAGAAGCTGCTCTCAAGATACGCCTCTTGCATGTTTGGGGTGATTGCAATTCAGAAAATCCATCCATTCTCTCACAGTTTTGCAGTCTTTGGACCGATTCCAAGGTAATATAGCATTTCCTTAAACGTTTTTTTTTGCAGTTACCAGTGCAAATTGTGCTCTTCGGTCATTTCTCTTGCTTCGCCTCCTCCCTGTTTAACAGGGAACCTTAATCCAGGCCATCGCGACACCACATTTAGGTCACCGATTTGGCCCATACCTGCAACTAGGGTGTGTCTACTTAGTTACTGGATTCCAGCTGGCAAAACCACAGCCACTGTGCCGCCCTTGCTCCCATAGATTTAGTTTGGTCCTTTCTCAGGGAACCATATTTGAGGATGTAACCATGTTGTCACCGGGTTTCTGTGCTGATTCATTTGAGTTTTTACACTTCAGTTCCTTGCACGGCTTACCTCGCTCAACAAACCAGCTCATAGGTTCACCTGGCAATTACTGTAATCTCATCACATATACTTGACTTGGTTTTTTGCACTAATGAATTGACGCTCTTGTAACACCTCTCCAAATGTAGATGTTGTTGGCAGAGTTGTTTCTGTGAGCGGGTTATCCTGTTCGGCAACATCCACTGGTGCTATTATTAGGCGGAAACTGGTCATACAAAACGAAAGGTTTTCAATGCAATGCGATTGTGTACCTTTCCATTTGTATTTGATTAACCGTAATTCCAATCATCTCCGTCTAGCCTGCACTTGACTATTGCAGAAATAAACGTGTTAACATCACCATATGTGGCGATGTTGCTCGATCACTAGATGGAGAAGAACTAGCATACCTTAGCCGCATGGGATCTGTTATACTTGGTGTATGCAGTCTTCAAGTTACTGACGCCACACCAGGTTTACACTGCACCTTTATCCCTCACAGTTAATGCTATTGCTAATCCATTCTACGACGACTCACATCTCCTTTCCTACCTTTACCAAAGGCGGCATTTTTTTAACCAGCACCTCCGCTACACGGTTTGTTTTGGAGCCATCTTCTGCATTGGCAAATGTTTTGCGTGCTACGTAAGTCTCTTACAAGATGCCGCTTTTAGTAGTTGACTTTCCGTTTATCTCATATACTTTCGAAATTGTAGTGCTACTGGTGGTACAGATACGATCCGCTATTATCCTCCATGCTTTTCCACTTATTTTGAAGAGGAAATGTTTCGAGCTGACAGTACCAAGACAATTATGGACCTCATCCGCCTTTCCAGAAATCCAATGGTTGACGTGCGTTCTTTTGTCATAACTTTTACTGTCACAGCACTGTATCTTATTACTTCATGGCAGGTTAAAGCATAATCTGCACTATTAATGTAGCCAGCCATTATTTTCATGCTTCAAAATTTATTCTGCCTCACCACTAGATGGATCTGTTTTTCCAGTCCCTTTTGCCAGTAAACTAACAAATTTCTTGCCTGCTTAGCTACACTTTCTCACCAGTTTTGTTTACCTACAGGCTACCCAGTACTATTGTTTGGCGCAAGTCCTCTCCACTGAGGCTTCAAGATCATGGTTCTACTTAGGATGTGCCTTTTGCTTTAAGACAGCTAGGGAATTTCCTGGCACTGGTGATTTTTTTTGTGAAGAACATGGCCAACTAAAGGCTGAAGAAACCGAACATTGGTTAGTTTAAAATCCACCTTTTCCCCATCAGTCAAGTGGGCACGCCCAATTCACCCCTGAAATTTTAATACATTTTTACAGCTACAAAATTCATTTGGCTGTCGGAGACACTACTGGTTCGGCGTGCTTCGTCGCACTTGGAAAGACCGCTGAATCTTTGCTTGGAGTTACAGCAAACGAACTATTGTTGCAGCATCCCCACCGCCATGGCCATTTCCCTCCGCCAATTGTGGCCATGAATGGCTGTTGGTTTTCGTTTTGTGTGCAACTCCCTAAACCTGGAAATCTGGCTCAGACTCCTCTGGAGTTTACTATACTTTCTGCATTCGACCGCAGCCAGCTCTAACAATAAACTAATGAAAACGTCAACGCTTGCGCAGAAAGTCATTGTGCTCGACCGTTGTCTTACCTATATTATGCCAGTATTTAGCAATATTTGCACTTCAACATCAACAGACTTATGTATCCGCGATGTACGTACAAACTATTCACATGCACAATGACTCCGCTCTTTCGCTTACAACTCTCCATTCCCACAATATAGTCTCCCCGCCGCAGAGCGCGGGCTTCTTTACTAGTTATTAGTAGTAATTCAAGAAGAACTACCACTTTGGATCAAGACACAAAGAGGGAGATTAGTATAATAGTGAATAATATATAGTCTACTCTCTTTCTTTTTTTTTTTTATGAAGAATATATAGTCTACTCTTCTTCTTGGGTGGTGGTATCTATTATCTTCTCTCTCTCTCTTTGTGGAAGATGAAAGGCCCAAAGCAAAGCAACAGATTAGAAATGCAAGTGGTGTGGGGAATTAGAACACTGGAATTTGGGAAAAGGGGGATTCATGAACCAGAAGAAGAGAACTTTCAATTTTGAGGGCAGAGGAAGAAGAAAACCACCTTCTTAATCCCTCTACTAATCCTAAAACTATACTAGTATACTCACTACTAATGAATGTTAATGTCCTTCCTTTCCTTCACACACATATTCCTTGAGTCAACTCCACGCCTTCTTTCCTCTCTTTTCCCTTCATTATTATCTTTCCTCTCTTAATCCCTCCCCTTAATTACTCTTTCTCACATTTCTTTTCCTCTGGCTACCTTCCTTTTCCCTTCCTCCCTCCCATGGAGAAGCAGAGACTTGGGTTGCTCTTCATCTTCGCCATCGTCATCTCCCTAGCCGTTCTCTCCTTCGTCTCCTGCGTCATCGCCGAGATCAAGAAAGTCAAGGTACTACCAACATTTCTAATTGAACATCGCCTCGTGTCCCTCGAACTCCCGAACCTGATTCTTCTTTTTGGGTTTTGGCAGAAGAAGGATGTGAAATTGCAGGATGCGATGTGCTATCTGCCAGAGAGCCATGCGTTTGGCTTCGGAATCGCGGCAATCGCATCCCTAGTTATCGCCCACGCATTGACCAACTTGTTCATTTGCGGCAACTTCTTGTCCTCTTTCTGCTCTTCTTCCAGAGAGAAGCCGGTCACCCCTCCTCTGCCTCCTTCCGCTTCTATTTCTTCTTCAACTTCGTCTTCTTCCTCTGCCTCCAAGAAACCCTCCATCCCCGCCCTCCTCCTCCTGCTCTTCTCCTGGTAATTCTCATTCCCAAAACCCACCACCATTAATTCGTCGGTCTATCTTTGGATTGGAACAATCAGTTGGGATTCACTATTTTTATCGTACGCACGTGATGCTCTGTTTTCTTGTTTGAGTTGTTTCTCTCCCGGTGGCTGAAACAAATCTTCAATTAGAAAGCCCATGAGATGGGCAGAAGAAATTAATTGAGAATTCGGTTCCAACTCACTTGCAAGCAATTCACACGCCTGACATTTGCCAGCTCAACCAACCCTTTCCCTTCCATTTCATTTCTTTAAAGTTTACTCCTTTTATTTGTTTTCTCAATTTGGGTCAGTCGACAGTCGCCATTAATGAACTTTGTCTGGTGATTGAGGCGACCCTTGATTCTTGCCTTTGCGTCAGGACCTTTTCGATTCCTATGTTTTAATTTGGGGCAAAAAGTAGGTAGCGCACTTAATTATCAATCTCCTTCTAATTAAGGCGTCTCTGTTTTTTTTTTTGTTTCTGTTAGGGCGAGCTTTGGGCTAGCGGTGGTGCTATTAGGGGGAGCGACGAGCATGAGCGCAACGCAGCCGTTTGGGAAAGGATGGCTGGACGGCAAGTGCTACGTCGTGAAAGACGGCATCTACGCCGGCTCAGGGGTTCTGACGCTGGTGTCCACCGCCGCCGTCCTTGGCTCTGCCGTTGTCACCGTCAGAAAAGCCCAGGCTGAACAGGGTCGCAGAGTACATGCCCAAGCTGTCGTAGGCTCCTGATACTCCCTTCTTTTTTATTTTATTTTTTTGGCCGGAAAGAAAAATTACAGGCTAGATACAAAGAGAGAAAAGAAAAACAAACTTATACACAGATAGAAAGTTACAAAGTTGTTCCTACCAACAAAAAAAAAAAAGTTACAAAGTTGAATGAAAAGGAACCGGAAAGGAATGCTGCAACTTTCGTCTGTCACAATCTTCATAGCTGAACTTTCCTTCTTCAATAGAGGGTAAAGGTTAATTTGCTCTTCCGAACCTTTTTCTGATAGATTTCGTTCCCTGTGGGTCATCCACTCACCCTTTTCTCTGCTGCATTAGATAAAACAGAACAGCAGAGATGGAATGGGTTAAGCCTAACATTGTTTATTCCAAGTTTGGTGAGTTGGATAAGGAGACAAGTGAGGGATGATGTGATGGGAGCAAACAAGAAAGAACCAATCTTTGAGGTCCCTTTCAAAAGACACTTCATGGATAGGGATGTGATGTGAAACGCAGAATGAAAGCAGAGCAGAGTCCACGAACAACAGATGTGCTGAACACTCTGTTCATTTACAAGGGAAAAGCAAGGGGAGGGAAAAGATAGAAGGAAAGTTGTGTTTCCAATACACTTTCCTTTGTTCGGGAAGGAGGGAAAGAAAGGAAGAGGAGGGAAAATGGAAGGAATGAGTACTGTATCATCCTACCCTCCAAATTGGAGGGAAAGAGAGAAGGAAGAACTTTCTTTTGTTTTTATTTGTTTTTCAGTTTATTTTTTGGATGGGATGAATGATTAGGAAATTAAAGTTTATAATTTTTACATTTTTTATTTTGTTGGATAAACATCTTATACAAATTGGAGAGAAACAATCTTTACGTTGTTTTTTCTGTTTCTTTTTCTTTTTTGGGTTTATATGTTTTTTTTTATATGTCCATTGAGAGTGTTTAATGTGGAATAGGTTTTTTATTCTTTTTTCGTTTTCCTTCCCAACGAGGTCTGATTTAAATGAGTATGTTATTTTTAATTTTTGTTTTTGCTAAGAAGAGATAAATGCGCTATTGTGAATATATGCAAGAGGTTATATTTTTAATCTGTATTTATATGGTTGCACGGCATTGTGAAAGCAAAAAAAGTGGGAAGTGTTTATTTTTATTGTGAAAGCAAATAGTTAGACGATAGAGTAAATTATGGAAAGCAAAATATGAAAAGTAGATCAACAAAAAAATATTATAATTAATGAGTAGTAAGTGATATTTCCATTAAATTGTTTGTCTCGTATTTTCAAAATAAAAAACTTTCATCATTAAAACATGATTTAGGAGTTAAAAAACATGATTTAGGGAAAATTTTAAATTGAATAAAGATCACCGCTATGAAGCCCTACTCAAAATTCGCAATTAACAACTTTTAAATTGAATAAAACATGATTTAGTCAAAATTTAAATTGAATAAACCAACTTTTGATTTGTTGTAGTTAACAAAATTAACAAAGAAAAACAAATTTGATCCACATTACATAATTAATGTAAATAATATAAACACATAATTAAATTATTTAACTATTCTATCATCAATAAAATATAATACATATCACAATTCCCAATCTACTTTTTCCCTCCCACTTTCCATTCCACTTTCCTCCATTAAACAACATTTTCTTTCCAATTCCCTCTAATTTCCCTCCCTTCCAAAGTTAACCTCCCCTCCAAATTTTCCTACCCTCCCCTCCTTTTCCTCCCTTCCTTCATGAACATAGTGTTCAGGAACCTTTTTCGTCTTGTAGCTTTAAGATTTGTTTAACTTCGATTACGGGGGGAAAAACAGGCGACGACAAATAGTTTGACGAACGCCATTGATAATTGCAATCTGGAACAAAGATAAAGCATGTTGTGTGCATCGGTTTTGATTTGTAGGAGTTGGAAATCAAAATCCACCAACTCTACAATTGGCGTATTGTGATTTTTTTTTTAATAGATAATGGTTCAAAATAGATAGTTACACCAGAACATTCAACTATATGTAAGAGTTGACAAATAGTTGAGCAATTATATGGACAATTATGTTATATCTCCGCCAATTGATAGTGAATATTGTAAGATAAAAATTACGAGAATCTGAAAATTCAGACAAACAAGAAAGTAAAAATGCTAGCTGAGTGATAGATGAACAGTAGAGAAAAAAATATGTACACTTGGATTTGGGTTATAAATTCCAATTTTTGGTTTGAACGAATATAGCGACCAAATTCCATGAATGTTGTTGCTTGCACAATAATCGGATTAAACTGATAGTATTGATTATTGGACACTCTATATAAAAAGCCACAATTATCAACAGATGATTATTTTACTCATATCAGTTCTTATTTACAAGATAATCCAGACACAGCTAAGACACTGTATCCACGAAATCACTACTTGCCAATGCCAACATCCTTAAACGTAGAGTTGATACGCAGGACAAAGAACAGATCTATACGGTAGTCCACCAAAACCACATTTTACACTTAACGATTTGTAAAACATATTAAATCTCACTCGAATCTTCTGCAGATCTCTAATTGCGCCGTTCCACGGCAGTAACCAACCCAACTCAGTGATACCCCAACGGCGCCGGAGTATCCCTCAGCTCATGCCCCTGGTAGTGTATGTCCGAAGCAAGGTGATTGACATCCCTGTGATGAGCCTCATCAGCTCTCACCACCTCCACCACATCCTTCAGAGTAGCATCCGCCGGGAGCCGCCAGTAGTCAATGGCGATGGCCGGAGCAGGAACATTCTCAATGTTGCCCTTGTCCAGCTCCTTGAGGAACTCCGTGTAGGAGTGAATGGCCTCCTCTTCCAAGTAACCCACCATCCTGTGCGCAAACTTGGGGGAGATGACGTATCCCAGGAAGTAGGCATTGAAGAAGATGCCCTGCACCGTTATCACCAGGGCTCTCTCGTACCATTTCGGCTGCGCCACTTCCATGAACGTCATTAGATGCATCCGCTCGTTCTCCGCCTCCTCGAGCAGGGTTCGGATCCATCCGCCGCTGTGCTCGAACCTCCTTAGTGACTTGCAGTGGAGCAGCATCCCTCCTACCATCCCTGGCACCGCCGCCACCGTTTCCAGCATCATTGCTCGACACCCATATCTCCTCTGTTATAACATACACATTGGGGCAAGGTCAATTTCATGTTCATAATCCTAGACAGGCTAACCATAAATCTAATTCCCCAAAAATCTGGAGCCTAGAGATCTTGATTGATCATGATTGAAATTGTAGAGTTAGGAGGTCGGATTCATGTTCTTGACTAAATCAATTGCCTACAACAGATGAATGATTCGCCAACATTCTCAGGATTCAATCAAGATGGGAGCCGAAAAGGGTACCTGGAAGAACAAATCGGTTGGCCAGCGGAGAGACTTGACAGTCCAGTAGGCGATTTTGTCAATCATGGTGGATGGCTTGTGGTGCTTCTTCAGATCTATCGATGTGTCTGCTTTGTACGTCTCCCATGGCTTTTCCCCCAAATAAAACCGAAGATTACTTCAGAAATCAGAGATCAAGAGAAAGAATTGAAGAAAACGGATCCGAGATTGCAATTGGAATTAATTGATTAGTACTACTACTCACCATGAAGGAATTCCACTTCCACTCTGTTCCATCCTCCTTTCGGATCTTGCGAGTCGGTATGTCCCAGTAACTAACAATCTCCTTGTCTTCGTTTCCGTCCCCGTTCATCCCGCCGCCGCCGCCGCCGGATGCCATCTGCGGCTGCTTCTTCTCTTCCTGCTGTTCCTGCTCCGCCAGCGTCATCGTTGCGAAGGTCCGGTCGCCGCTGGTAGCCGTCGCCATACCTCTAACCCAGACCCCGACCGCAATCGGAGCCTGGACCCCGCCGCTCGCGATACCGGCCGAGGCAGCTTGCCGAGCGACGGCGCCTGCTCCTCCGCTAGTCGCCGAAGAGAAATTGCGCAACGCCAGAGCAGCCACAGCCATCCTGGCGCCACCGCGGCCCATCGTAGACATCATCGTCGCCGTTCAGATCACCAAAATCGAAAACCTTAGCAGTGATTCTTGAGAGAGAGAAATCGTTGGAGGAAGTTTCGCGAAATCTGGTGAGTTGTGAAAGAATCAAGAAGAGTTGTTTTGGTTTTTCTTGGAGATGAAGAGAGGTTTTAGGGGAGGTTTAGGTATATATAGGGGTCGTTTGGAAGTTGTGATTCTTCAAATTGATGTATTAGGCCAATTAGTGTATTATCATTTGATGTATGATTCAATACATGTATTAGGAAAATACTTTGTTTGGAAGGGCAATGATGAAACAAAAAGTAGGGTAGACAATCCCTCATTAACAATCTCACCTTTTAGTAGAGATTTATAATCATTCATTTTGAGTGATTGTAGGTGGGCCCAACAAAAAGGTAATGCATGCATTCTAGCTCAAAGTGAACCAAAAAAACGACTTAATCTTATCATTACATGTATTTGCTAAATACCTCACTTCAAATCTCAACCTCCAAACGACCCCATAGTGTACCCAGACAAACTGAGTAGGTCGACTCGGGTCGGGTTAGATATCCGAATTGCTCGCGTTTTGTGAGAGTATTGATCTGTCGTTTCAGGGTTGATGGAGGAAATCGGATTATGTAACTGGCAGGTTACAGGTCAGACGTGTGCTCCCCAAGCATATGATACGTGGCGAGATCTGTGTCGTTTAGTGAGAGAGAGGTAGAGACGTGTCCAAGCTTTTCTTCTTTTCGGGAACGTATATAATTGGTTAAATGATATTTTTTCTTGGGCACCAAGAAAGAAACTTTTGGAATGTCCATCTTGGCAGGCAGCCACACTTTCCGCCCGGAGTTGCTGGAACTGAAAAATCAGGCAAGAAAAATGGACACCTTCCGAATTTCAGTTAGGAACATTCGGAATTAATGCGGACGGCATACGGCGATAACACGCAATAAGGATTGTCACCGCTCACCAACACGATTACTAATGTTTTAGCCGTCGAGATTAGAAAATACAAAATACGTTGAGATTACATGGATATTTTAGCAATTGAAAAAAAGTAGTATTTTAGTTTTATTGGATAAGCATAAATGAACTATTGGGGGACATGAACTTATAGGCAGGGCTTGGGCCCAAGCTTACTAGGGAGCCAGGGCATGTAGGAGTGAA